TATCGCCCCCCTTAATTTCTTTTTTTTCAGAAAGCGCTATGACTGGAGATCTTCGCATATGCAGACTCAGTCGTCGTTTTAGTTCAGCGATGGGAGGCGAAGAAATATTCTTATTCGTTGAAAAAGTATCAAAAGTAAGATTTATATACTATTCTTGTTAGTGATGTGCCAACTCAAAATTTTTTGAATTGTGATTCTTGTAACCTAAAACTGAAAAGCCATGCCACTGTGTTTATTTAGTAAATGTGACAAAAATGTATGTTGACTCATAGACTTGACAAAGAAAAAATATTATAAACACAAATTATTATCAATTCTAATATATTACAAAAATGATTAGAAAAAGATTTAATATTGGAGACAATTGAAATATATATTTTTAACTTCGCGAAGGAGAAGTTTGTTTTTGTCAAAAAATCCGATTCGCTAATTTTGTTTTCTCAACATTTCAAGCCATTCTGAATCGAATGAGACCAAATTTGGAAAAAGTATGTATGTGTGTGTATGTGAACAAATTTTTTGCCGTAAATCTACGTTTTCTCAAAAACGGCTGGACCGTTTTCAAAAATTTAAAAGCCATTTGATATATCTCAATGAGGACTATCGTTTGTCAGTTTTGTGCGACGATCTGCCAAGCCGCTTTTTTGTAAATCGCAGAAAGTGAAAAAATTTTTGTCCACGTTTTAGCCGTAATTCTGAATCAATTTTGAAAATTCAAAAACCGTTCGATAGATATTAGTTGGGAATCGTGCTGATTAGATTTTGGTAAAGATCGGCCTAGCCGTTTTCTTTTAATAAAGTGTTAAAAAAAATTTCCGCCGATTTTCATGGAACTTTTTTTGGCGATATATCATGGTCTTATAGAACTTACTGAAATATTACGGCCTTACGACAAGTAGTTTAATTTAAAAATTCATCAAAGTTTGAGAAAATGAGTAGTCACTAATTTTTGCAAACTATGACGAATTTTAAAATTAAACGACTTGTAGGTCATAATATTTTAGTATGATCTAAAAGGCCATGAATCTATCATTAAAAAAAAACATGAAAATCGTCGATTTTTTTTTCAGCAGTTAATTACAAGAAATTGTGCCAGCGAATCTTTACCAAAAACTAATCAGGTCGATTCCCAACCAATATCTTTCGAATGGTTTTTGAATTATCAAAATCGATTTAGAATTGCGGAATAAAATATGGACGAATTTTTTTTTCACTTTTGTGCTATTTACGAAGAAACGGCTCGGCCGATCGTCGCACAAAACTGCCAAACGATATTCCACATCAAGATACATCGAATAGGTTTGAATCACTTGATTCGACTTGGTACATCACTTATCTTTTTATAATGAATGATGTTATGTACATATGCCAGTAAAACAGAGTTTGTTTCTTATTAGAAAATATTAAAGTGAAATTCTATGAGTTGGATGAGGATGATTGTGAAGTATGGAATGCTTTTGGATCGTTCAGTGAATTTGATGTTCATCACCAGTATGCAATTGCACTTAAGTAAGTAAAAAATACATATTAATTTTCAAACAATACTTACAAAAAATGAACAATTAATAAAGTAATTAAACTAATATTATTTTATTTTAGAACGCCACCATATAAAGATCAGAACATTCAAGAAGACAGAAAATGTTATATTCAGTTACTGAGACCTACTGATAATAGTGTTAGTGAACCACTAGATTTTTTGTATAAACCATCAGCTCGTATATTGGGTTCTGATCGCAAAAGAGTACGCATGGATTCAAACTTCAATAGCGATGAATTTTTGAGTACTTTGCCAACAGTGTTAACCAGTATGAATTTATCGACACCAGAATTCATCAGTAATGAATACAGCTCATTGACACTTTGCGAGAGTGATATGAAAGATGCTATGAACTCTGATGAATTTAAAAACTTTCTTGAGATGGTTCATAATGGTAAGTTTTTCAAACTAGTTATTTCAAATTTAATAAAATTTAGGAAAACTGTTGTTTACACAGATATAGTTTATTTTGAATAAAACTTGTTGGAACATTTCAGACAAGTATTGAGCAACATGTGAATTCTGGACATTTTCTTACATTTCTTTGGATATCTTGCAAATTTTTGTTCGGCCGCTATGTTTTATATACTTCAGTAAAAACTAGATAAATTTGACTAATACCTGGTATAACATGTTGTTTATACCTGCATATTGAAATTTTGAATAATCCATAGTTGAAATGCGAATTTAATGCCTTGAACACTTGCAAATTGTCGTAGAATATTTTTTTCGTTTTTTAAAATAACTAAAATCCAGTTGAAATTGTTATTTACACTTGGATATTGAAATTTTGAATAATTTGTAGTTGAAATGTGGATTTTAGGGCTTTGAACACTTCCAATGAATGGTCTTAGAACATTTTTTACTTTTCTTCAAATAACTTTTAATTTTTATTTTGGACATTATAGTTTATTTACATTTAATAGCAATAGCTATTTAATAGCTAATAGCATAACTAATATAAAATTCACTAAATTCAATTGAAATTGTTATTTACACTTAGATATTGGAATTCACAGTTGAAATGCGGACTTTAGTCCGCATTTATAGTTTGCAATACATGGATTTAGCACATTTTTTGTGCGTCTCTTTTAATAACTTTTAATTTTTATTCCGGACGTTATAATTTGCTTAAATTAGTATAAACTAGATGAAATTTACTAAATTCACTTAAAACTGTTATTTACATTTGGATATTGACATTTTCAATAATTCACAGTTGAAATGCGGACTTTAATATTTTTATAATTTGCAATACATGGATTTGGCACATTTTTTGTACGTATCTTTTAATAACTTTTAATTCTTATTTTGGACGTTATAATTTGCTTACATTAGTATAAACTAGATGAAATTTACTAAATTCAGTTAAAACTGTTATTTACACTTGGATATTGATTTCAATAATTCGTAGTTGAAATGCGAATTTTAGTGCCTTTGAACACTTGCAAATAGTCGTAGAACATTTTTTACTTTTTTTTTTCAAATAACTTTTATTTTTTATGTCGGTCATTATAATTTAATGACATTAGCAAAAACTAGATAAAATTCAGTTGAAATTGTTATTTACACTTGGGTATTGAAATTCTGAATAATTTGTAGTTGAAATTTGGACTTTAGAGCTTTGAACACTTGCAAATCGTCGTAGAACAGTTTTTACGTTTTTCAAATAACTTTTAATTTTTATTTCGGTCATTATAGTTTATTTACATTAGCAAAAACTAAATGAAATTTACTAAATTCTAGTAAAAACTGTTTTATACACTTTGATATTGAACTTTTCAATAATTTGTAGTTGAAATGCGGACTTTATTATTTTTAAGTTTGCAATATATGGATTTGCTACATTTTTTTATTTTTTTAAATAACTTTTAATTTTATTCCGGACATTATAATATGTTGACATTAGTGAAAAATAGATAAAATTTACTAAAATTTAGTCAAAAATGTTTTATGCACGTGGATATTGAAATTTTCAATAATTCGTAGTTGAAATGCGGATCTTAGTGCCTCGAACGCATTAAAAAATTTAAAATATTAACAGAGGTGGAATAAAATTTTATATTATTATATTTTTCTGTTTATAGATATTTTATGCAAAATTTTACAGAAACTTTTTTTTTTATTTCCAGATATAAGCAACACAAGAAGTTTGGACTCCCAGGGTAAGTTTTATTATTTGTATTATGTCTATTTGTACATTTTTATTTCATTTTGTACTTAATAAACTTTAATTTCATTTACAGAATTAAATGATTGGAATAATTTGAATCAAAATCACATTAACCTAATTCTTATCATATTTTACTTGATTGACATTAAACCAATCAGATTAGATTTCTGAATTGAATCAAAATTAACTGAATCAGTTAATTGAAGTTTTTGTTTAGTTTATCAGTTAATACATGTAATTATATTTTTAAATCAAATCAAAAGCTAATTTACCGAAAGGCGATTGGTTTTAGGACGCAATTATTACTTCATTTTGATAATAATTTTTTATATATGATGAGGACGCAATTATTACTTACAATTAGTTTTAATAATAAATTTATACCTAATTTTGATAGCAAAGATTTTTTTTTTGTATAAAATGTTGAAAGAACTACTATTTATTGACTGATTATGATTACAATGACAGAATATCTATGATTGTCTTTATTATTATAATTTATTTTTTTCTAATTGCTTATAAACAATTTAGTAATTGTATTTCAATAATAATAAAAATATAATTATTTATTTTATTTTTAGGGGAATCCGAATCAGAAAGTTCGTTGACCACAGATTGTATGGGGCGCAGCAAACCAACTGTTTCTACCTCTGAAGTTAGAATAGGTTTGATTATATTTTTTATTTGTTTTTATTACAATATATGTTTGATAGTGCTAAATAAATAATTTTTCATAGGGTGAGTTATAGTAATCGCAAAAAATCGAATATATATCTTTACGTTTCAGAAGCTCCTGAACATTTTGGCATACTTTAGAAAAAGTGGATGTATGGTGTGTGTGTGTGTGTTCGGATACAAATTTTCGTCGACGATTTTGGAAACACGCTTTAACCGATTTGAATGATTCAAAAAATGTTCGATATCTATCAATAAGGAGACCAATTATTTTATATCAAATCATATTAAGGATATTATTTTCATGTAAAATTTTATCCTTTGCACTTTTATTTACTTAAATTTATGTTATTATGTATCAATATTACTTGATGTTAATTTAACAGTTGTAATACTTATTGAAATTAAATATATATATATATATATATATATATATATTTTTTCTCAAAAACGGCTGAACTGATTTCAATAATTCAAAATCCATTTGATGGAAATGTGAATAACTAGTTTAACATCTAATTACGAAGAAACGACTCGACCGATTTTTACGAAAAACTACTGGTAAGTACGATTCCAACATTTTTAACGACGGAGAAGTTTGTTTGATTTTGCGTTTGTTTGCTAATTATATGTTTTATTGAAATTTCAAGTTATTCTGAATCGAGTGAGGCTACTTTGTAATAAAAAGTATATGTGTAATTGAGGTCTAGCGAATAGTTCAGCGAATTTTTAGAATAATGAGTTAATACTTTACATTATTGGATAAGAAAATTAAAAATTGTTTGATGTTTAGTAATAATTTTGTATGTGAGTCGATTTTGATCTTTCATCTACATTTTATCTGGACCTGTTTCAAAAACCTAAAAAAAATTATCCACGTTTTAACCACCAATCTTGAATCAATTTTAAAAATTCAAAAATTGTTTGAAAGATTTGGGTGGGAAGTCGCGTTGATTAGGTTTTGATGAAGTAATCAAATGTTCAAATAGATTTTGTAGTCTGATAAAGCTTACTAAAATAAGCGGTTCAGTTATAAAATTCGTCAAAGTTCAGAATTTTGCCAGAAATCTAATCTCAATCTATAATTATCTAGTCACTAGTCAACAACAATAAAAATTGAGTCCCGGGGAATAGTTCTTGCATTTTTTGAATAATGAGTTAATACTTTAAGAAGTTATACATAAGGAAATAAAAATTGTTTAATGTCTAGTAATATTTCTCGTGACTTAGTTAATGAGCTAATAAACAATAACATATTATATTTTAATTCAATTTATTGTTTTTACAGTACATGCTCAGATGGCTGATATGGTACAATTATCCAATCAAAACGTTTATATTGAACAACAAAGTTCTGATAAGGTTGAAATTCTTGAACCAAATACACAAAAGGGAAAAAAAATTGTGAAATTGCGAGGTGGACGCCCTTCACCATCAAATGCTGATATTGAATCAAAGAAGTTTGAAGACACTTCAAAGAAATCTGGTAATGAAAAACCAGTACTAAATAGGAAGGACAAGTCAGTAGAATCTCAAAGAGAATTTTTCAGAAGTCTTAATAATTTACGTGGAGGCTGGTTGCCACCAAATGATGATGATTCTGGATCTAAAACAGGCAAGGAAGGGAAATTCTTGGATTATCTCAAATTAAAGAAAGTCAATGATAATGATAATGCAGATATTGAACGTTCTATAAATATAGCAAAGGAAAGGTAATTTTATAAAACACATAGAGGCATGATTTAATGAAATTTTTCAATGCCAGACCAGCGATTTGTGTTTTTCATATATTTTACTTTTACAACGATTTTTTTGGTTTTTAAATGATTTTACAAAACTTAATTGTTGTTATTTGGTTGTTTGAATGTTTATTCACAAGATCGTGTCCGCAAAAAATCTAAAATGAAAATTTTTATATAGAGTTAGACGGCGACGCGGCGCTTACGTGCTTCGATATTTTATCTCTATGCAGATAAAACATATTTCTTTTAAAAAAAGTTAAAAACTTCCAAAATATTACAAAATAAAAAACATTTTGTTCAAGTCATTTTTTTTTTAATTTAAAATTTCTCAAAAATCTAATTTTTTTCAAAGTTTATAAAAAAAATTTAATTAATTTAATTTTTTTTTAAATTAATTTTTGGTACGGGAAGTTCCAGCAATTTGGCTTAAGGCAAGATGCCATGCACCACTAGTCTGTATACATATCATCATTTTTTAATTTTTGGAATATTTTAACAATAATAATTAAGAAAACTTTCACAAACAACTTTTGATACAAAATACTTGCAAAGCCTATGCACAACCACTGAACTATTTTTAAATTACTTCACATTATATGATAAAACCTTTTTCTAATAATTGTGAGTCATTTGTGATAAGCCTCCAGTGAAAGTTTAGATTGCCGCTTGCTGAATTTTTCTTAAATATGACATCAAATAACCTAATGTTATTAATTCTGATATTCTGTTGCATTTCTCGAATTTTATGATGTAAATTTCTACTTCCCTCGATCTATGTACTTAATAGTTTATTTTTCATATTTCCAGATCTACTAAATTGCAAACATTCATTGATTTTGAAATTAAACATCAGCTAATAATGCTTTTGAAGAATGTAAAGGATCCTACAGCTGCCAATGACTCAAAAACTAAGAGAGATAATGAATCTGCTGTTACAAAATTATTCATGACCGGAGAAAATGGGAATACGTAAGTGATACTCTTTTATTTAATATCATTACCTTAGATTATGTAATTTTTTTTTGTTGGAAATATGATTTAATAAAAACATTTTTTTCAGGGTTTTGCATGGAGCTGTGGACCTGGATGAGATGAGCATAGCACGAGATATGTTAGATTTGCTTGTTCACTGTAATTTAAGTGAATTGCTTAATGTTAAGAATCATTTTGGAAAATCTATACTTCATGCGGCCATCGAGAAAAAACATTATACATACATCAAACCTCTTCTTGCAGCAGGTTATTAAAAAATATTTTTACTATATATAATTGAAAATAATTATTGTATTCACGGATCTACTAAAATAATAGGCCTTTAAAACTTTAACACAAAGAGGATTAGCCAATAATATTTTAAATACCAAATTGAGAAAAAAAAACCTTGTTAAAAATAGTCGTAATTTGATAATAATGAGAATTTTTTATTTTTTATTATTCGGCTTAACCATTTCTTGGCAAATAGCAGAAAAGTGAAAAAATTTTTGTCCACGTTTTAGCCCGTAATTCTGAATAGATTTTGAAAATTCAAAAATCGTTCGAAGGATATTGGTTGGGAATCGACCTGATTAGTTTTTGGTAAAGATCGGCCGGGCCGTTTTCTTGTAATGAATTGTTAAAAATATTTTTTTCGACGATTCTTATGATTTGTTTTGACGGTAATTACCATAGTCTTATAGATCATATTGAAATATTGCGGCCCGCAAGTCGTTTAATTTTAAAAATTCTTCAAAGTCTGTAAAAATTAGTATCGTTTGTTTGGCATTTGTCAAAATTAGACCTTTCTTCGACATTTGCTCAAAAACGCCTGAACCGATTTCAGAAATTTAAAAGCCATTTATGTATCTCAGTGAGGACTATCGTTCGCCAGTTTTGAGCGACGATTTGCCGAGTAATTTGGAAAAAAGTGTAAAAATTTTCGTTCACATTCAAGATCATACAAACATTTTAAAAAATTAAAAACTGTTTGAAAGATATTATTTGGGAAACGACTTAATTAGTTTTAGGTGAAAAAAAAAATTGAGTTGATTTTTATGATTTCGATTTATCTTTTTTGGCGATTTATATCATAGTTTTATAGAACTTACTGAAATATTACGGCCTTACGGCAAGTAGTTTAATTTTAAAAATTCATAAAAATTTGAGCAAATGAGTAGTTTTTTTGACTTGGTATAACGATACAGTACTTGGTGTTAATAAACATATTAAACCATTAAAGTCTTACGGAAACTGGATTAATTAAAAAAATTATTGATTTTTGAAAATTTGCTTTTAGAAAATACTCCGAGGGTTAACGTGTTCGTTCGCTCGCTTTCAATGATGTGTAATAAATTCACTCGGAATACTTACAATCACTCATAAATTAGTTTATTTTTTATTGATTAAGTCGATTATTTACACATATCGGGAAGTGCATGTAACTTGCCTCAAGGCAAAATACCAATACCAACTGGTTTTATTTAATTTTGCAGGAATAAATCCTAATATTACTGATGATGATGGGAACACTCCATTACATACAGCAGTGCGAGAAAAGTGTTTGAATGCAGTAACTCATTTGTTAAATTCAAAGTCCAAACATAAAGTTGAAATTGATGTTGAAAATAATGGTATGTATAATAAACAAATTTATTATTTGGTTATAATAATGAATGAAGAATGTATATCTTTATGTTACATTGTATTGACGAAATGAAGAACTGATGAAATTTGAAGGCACGTCTAACGGTTTTGGAGATCCAATGAAAAAAGTGAAAAAATGTCATTTGGTGGACAAAAATTATCATCAGACATATGCATATCAGATTATCACATATTTTATAGATATTTTAATAATAAGAACAAATTTTGTTTACATATCTATGGGTTCCGTATCAATGTTTATACCGTCGTTATACTGCGGCGCGGCACTCACGATCTTTGAATCAATTTTTCAAAAATATCCAAAATTGCTTTTTTTCGAAGTTCTAAAAAATTGAATATTTTTTAAAAATTCATATATTTTAAATATTTGGTATGAAAAGTTCCAGCAATTTGCCCAAGCACTATGCTATCCACCACTAGTTTTTCGAAGTTTTCAAAAAACTTCAATGTTTTTTTTTTTTAAATTTAACTAGTCGCGATGCCTCTAGTTATTTGTTTTTTTTTCAGATGGTAAAACAGCTCTTCATCTAGCTGTGGCTGGAGGAAACTGCCAGATTGTTGCAAAGCTGTTGGCCAAAAATGCAGATGTAAACCATGGCGATGCGCTCAATGACAATACTGCATTACACATTGCAGTCGAAAATAATCATCCTGATGTTGTGAAAATTTTATTGGATGTTCCAAATGTATGTATATTTGATTACATTTTATTAAAAATTTTGAGGGCGTCCATTAATTACGTGAGGTTTTTAGGGGGTGGGGGAAAATGACAAGAAATTACGAATTATCACGTTGTGGAGGGAGGGGTATAGTACGATTTTTTTTTATTGTTTATTTGTTGACTTTGTATACACATACATTAGTCATATACATTTTATAAGTTATCTTTACACATTTATTTTATTTGATTGTATATAATTATTTAGCGCACCATATATCTTTTTCTTTATCTATAATGTTATAAAATTGGTTGGCAGGGAGATTTTTTGCCTTACTATCTTCTTCCATAGTTCTTGCCTACCATTTTCCAATTTTTTGCACTCCATAATGGCGTGCTCAGCGTCCGCCTTAGTCACTCCACCCACGCAATAGCAATTAACCATTTTCACTCGCGAATTCCGAGATTTATATGAATATTGACGCCGGAGCGGCGGCATCCGAGTGGAAAGGGTTAAGATTGGTATTGATCTCAATTCTACTCAGGTGAAACGAACTCAGGTGTGTATGGTTAAATCTTGTCTACATATTGTAGTAAGATATCATGTGTATTTATTTTTTACCTGAATTTTTTAAACAAATCCAAACATTTTCAAAAAATAATTGAAAAATTTTACAATTTTTCCTCGTGACTAAAAATACACGTGATGTTTGCATGGAGAGGGGGGGGTGATTTTGAATAACACCAGGTCCAAAGGAGAGGGGGGGGTCCAAAAATCCTTAAAAAGCAATGGACGCCTCTTTTGTAGTTAATATCTGCAACTTTTCTAAATTATTTGCAAAGATTCCATTGATAATAAATTGAGTAATTTGAACAAATTTTGTTTGTTTAAATAAACAAAAATAAAATGTTTGTTTAAAATAATTCTTATAACATATTTAGGATTATGGATATTTTATCTCTTGAGTATTTCAGATATTTGATCTTAATCAGTAGTAACTAAGAAAGATTTGAAAAATAAAAATATAATTGGTTATTCTTTTATGAGAATATTTTTTATTCAAATATCTTAATTGTTTTGTTTTGAATTTCATTTCACAAATGATCAGTTTGCTATTGTCTTTTTAATAAATCATTATCTCTAATTAAAAGCACTTTCTTGACGTAAATATTGTAAATTCTTTTTAATAATGAATGTATTTGCATCAAATATTTATAAATCGTCTAATAGTACAGTGATACCTTGTCTTAAGAGCTTAATTCGTTTCATAAACACACTCGCATGTCGAATTTCTCGTATATCGAAGCGATTTTTTTTTATATAAATACATTGAAATTCCATTAATTCGATCCAGGACAATGTTTTTTTTAATAATAAAAAGGAGTGAAACATTTATTGCAGAGATCAAATATATATATTCTCCAAAAATATAGCGAATTACTAAATAAGAAATAACTAAATTATTACTATGTTACTTCTTTAAAGAACATTTTTGTCAAATTCACTACTCGCACATTTTGGTCATATTTTTAAATGATTAATGCTTTAATTCAAGAGAAGTTTCTGTTTTATTTGTCATAGAATAAAATTAAATCTATATATATATATATATATATATATATATATATATATTTATGCTTTATATTTTAATAACTATTTTTACTTTAAGATGGATCTCTAATATATGCATTATTTTCTTTTTTCCCCAGATTTCAGTTGATGAATACAATCGGCAAGGACATACGCCCCTGCATTTAGCTTGTGTTATAAATAGTGGAAAAGGATCTGAAATCATTGTTCACAAGCTTCTTGAGGCTCAGGTAAATATAAGAAAAATAATGTATAGTAGACTAGTACAATGGGGATGAATGTATATTTTTATCACATTTATTATAGATATATTAGGGTAGGGCGGGGCTAGTTGAACAAATTTTTACTTGAACAAATGTAGCTCCACAATGAAAAGTTTCAATAAATTGATATACGGCTTAATGGATTTGTTGTTTATCGCTTGACAAAAGTGTCAATACTATTTTTGAGTTGCTAGAAGTTTTTGTTTATAATCTTTTATAGAAATGTATTTTAATTTAACAATTAATGATCAAATCGGACTTGATCTTATTCTTATAGGCTGATCCTTTAATGCCGATGGATTCGGTGAAACACGAACCAAAAAGTGATGACGAAGATTCTGATCAGGAAGATCGATTGGAGATTGGCAATGCTTTTGAACTAGCTACATCAAATCCTCAAGTGAGTATGTATATTTTATATCATTTCATTTGCATGGGCACTAGCATCTTTTTTTATTGCTTCTTGTATTTATTTCTTTGGGATTGAGATTTGTAAGAAATCGTAAGTGTGCTCTATGTTTAAATAATTTAATATTGTAGTACCTTACTATTGTAGTACAATTAATATTTCAAATCATTTTAATAATTCCTAGGTAAGATTGTAATAAAGAATTATAAATTAATTGAACAGCTACATTTTATGAGGTGGCGTCCATTAATCACGTGAGATTTTTATGAGGAGGAGGGGTTTGACAAAAAAACACGAAGTATCACGTAGGGTAGGGAGGGGTATAGTAAGATATCATGTATATTTGTTTTTTAATTATTTTTAAAAAAAACTTCAAACAAAAAAAAATCAAAAATGTCACTTTTTTCAAGGGGGGAGGGTGGTTAATTTTGAATATCACCATGTATCACCAAGGGGAGGGGGGTCCAAAAAACCTTAAAAACTTGCTCACGTGATTAATGGACGCCCCCTAACAATAAAATAAGTTTGTAATGTTGAAAACTATAAGTTAATAGTGATTGAAATTTGATATTAAAAGGTAGTCTAGTACAGGCATCGGCAAGCTACGGCACGCGTGGCAGGCTTGCACTCGATGGGTTCTGAATGGACCACTCTATAAAGTAATCAAGAAAATCGCAAATATTGAGTGATTTTTAAATAAGAGAAAATGTTTACTAATAATTATTTTTTCTGCGTAGCTCGCCTAATGTAATTCAACCTACGTTGAAGTACTTAAAGATGAATTTTCTAGAAGATGCAAAAACTTTGAAGCTTATGTGCCTATATTTTGAAGGAATTACAAATAAATCTGGAAGATGACTCTATGGAAAAAATCGACAGCCATATTATTAATTGTTGAATGATATTGCCGGAAAAGATTTAATTGTTTAAAGAAAATTGTATGCGCTCTTCTTTCAACTTTTGATTCCACATAATTCTGTAAACAATTTTTTTCTCACATGAAACATATTTTGAGTTCACAAAGAAATCGTTTAACAACTAAACATTCAGTATCTTGTGTGAAATTAAAAGTTACAAATTATACCCCGGATATTGAAATGTTAAGGTAAAATGTGCAGGCACAAGGTTCGCATTAAAGTTGTTTAGTTTATATTCAGTGACGGATTAAGCTTTCTTGCGCCTAGGCCCTATCTGATCAGGCGCCCTTTTTAATAGACAATTTTTACTTTTTTAATTAAAACTATAATTTTATTCTAAATTACTTAAATACAACTTTTAACTTTGCGTAAAGTACTCGTAAGTTTTAGTAATCGCAAAAGATCGAAAATAAAAATTTTGCATATTTTTCAGACATTTCTAAACATTTTGGCATGCCTTAAAAGAAAATTGATGTGTGTGTATGTATGTATGTTACTTCTCATAGATAAGAAAGTTCTGATTTCGCTAAGACAGGTTTAGCCGTTTGGAAAATACAGAACAAAAGTGTAAAAATTGCAATTCAGTTTTTGAAAGAACCAGAGGCTGTTTCCAAATAATTAAAAAAAAATTTGCTTGTACTAAAGGAATGAATATTACCTAAAATTTTTGGGAAGGCAGGTTTAACGGTCGACCAAGCTTTTTTTTGTAATTAGTAAAAGAGAGAAAAAATTCGTCGAAGTTTTAGCCCACAATTTTAAGTCGATTTTAAAAATTCAAAAAAACCATTCAAAAAATTTTGGTTCGAATCCGGACTGATTAGGTTTGCGGGACGATCGGACGGGCCGGTTGTTAGAAATTAACATAAAAAAGCAAAAATATTACGTTTCTGGAATAAAGCCAGAAACCGATTTTTAAAATTGAAAAAAGATTTCTGAAAGATATCAATTAGGAGTCAAAATATTTACAATTTTAAAAATTCATCAAAGTTTGATAAAACTTCAAACTCAAAATTTGTGTTAAAAGGCGCTTTTGTGATGTGATAAATCAAAATTTAATTTTCAAAAACGCCTGAACTGATTTCACAAATTAAAAAGACATTGGACTAAACTCGATAAATAGAACCGAGATATTCAGAAATTTCGAGTTTTTTTTTTAATTCTAAAATAATTCGATAATTTGAAAATTTTAGATATTTTAATTTTCTCAAAATTTGAAAACAGTGGACTTGCCTTTTCGGAAAACTAATCATTTCTTCATATCACTAAAATACCACGAACAAAAATATTTTTGAGTCATTCCAATCGAATGATCTGTACTCTCAAAACCTTTATGACCACTTTTGCACCTTCTGCGCTCTGTATCTCTAAAAATGCTAAAACCTGCCTGCATAAACAGTACGCCTCTCAATCAAAGCCAAGCGAATATTTTTTGAATCATTCATGGCGATTGATCCTTGCAAAGGACATTTAAACTATCTAAGAAGTAAACTTTGAAATTAAAAATCTCGGTACGTATAAATCAAATAATGAAGACAAAATTTGTAATAATTAATAATTTTTTATAACAAATCTAATAATTTGATGTCAATGATCATTTTTTATCACCAAATGACACCTTTTTGGGTCACCAAAACGCTGACCATGCTCTCGCAAAATTTTCGATAGTTCTTATTTCGTCATACAAGTAAAAAGTGTCTTGAATTATTCAAATCGGACGCTTCGTTTTTGAAAAATTGAATTAGCATTTTTTTCACTCTTTGCTCCTATTCCGAGATGGGTGGAACTGTCTTTGCAAAAAACTAATCAGCACGTCTTCCCGAATGCCAATTGGCAAAAAATTGTAACCGCATAAACACATGCATACATTCATTTTTTCTAAGGCATGTCAAATGTTCAGGAGAACTTGAAGCGTAGAGATATATAAACAATTTTATTTACGATTTTTTAGGATTATTATAACTTAGCCTTCCTGAAGTTGATAATATGATACATCAAGAAAATATCAATGCGGCACCCACGAATAATAAATTGATTAGAAAACGCATTACGTTCTATTTCATCGAAATGATCTCTAAATTACAAAAAAAAAAATTCAGGATCTATCCTTAAAATGAATTGTGTCATTTCATCGAGTTTAAAATTTTTACATTTTGAAAAATTTGCCGCCCCTAAATTATGCCGCCCTAGGTCCGGGGTCTCACGGGCCTTTGGGGTAATCGGGCACTGTTTATATTAGAAATTCATGTTATTTGTTAATAAATATGTTTAAAAGATAAATTTGGTTATAATTCTTCTCCCCTAGAAACTAACTATATATTTCAAATTAAGGCGGCACTCTAAAACATATTGGTAGAGTGGCTTGGCACACTACAGTTAAAAGCTTGCCGACCCCTGTCTAGTATATGATATGAAGTGCAAAGATTTTACAACTCTTTCGATACAAATCAATGACATTTAAAATAAATTTTAAAGATATCTCATTTTGTTCATGATGATCTTGTTCTATTATGATCGTTGCACTCTATTCTGTTGATCAAATATATAATGGAAGTTTTAAAACAACTTTAAACCCTTTCAGTTTGTTTTACAATTTAATAGACACTTTTCAATTCAGATAAATCCAGATCGTTTGTTTAATTTACTATACCGCAGAAATGACAAACCATTCAAATAAATTAAAATTAAATGTTTATACACTTTGTATAATTGTTTTGTGCAATATTATTCATCATCTTTGGTAATCAGAATACTGGGCAGATGATAGCTTTTCATGAATATCAGTTACTTATGCATAAATATAAATAACTAAATATTGTATTTTTGAAGCTTTGAGCTTTCAGTCATCATTAAAGTGTTAAATTATCTTTGTAGATATTTATTAAATTACAAAGAAATTGATAAACGATATTTTTACAAACCTAATACATAGATTTTTAAATATTTGCATGGATCATGACATTATTTTCTTTTTTTTTTGGTGTTTTTTATGGTAAGAGATTACGTTCCTCGTCCCGTAATATGGTACGTTTACCTCTTATATCTTGAACGATGAGTTTTATTTGGATTTTTTATTATTGCAATCTACAAGTAGATTACATTATTTATTTGCAATTGATGTTTTGGTTTTATAAAATTAGAATATATATCTTTATTTTCTGTTGAACAGAAACTTACATACTTAAATAAATATGTATTATCAATATACGAATATATTTTGTAGAAACGCTTATTTATGATTAATATTCCTAGTTTTCCTATATATACCTCTAGTTTCCTGGTCTTCTGATATATATTTCTACTACTTTGCTATGCAATATCTTTTATGTAGTGATTTAAAAACTATGTAATTTTGGGTTTATTTAATGTGATGTGTATGAATTAAATTCTCAAGTAAATATGACATAATTTACTTGTACATATTAAATTTTCAGAAATGAAAATTGCAATTAAAATTTGAATTTGAAGTGTATTTGTGATATCTTTTCTCTCATTGTTAGTTTACTCTTAGTAATCAGTATTAACCTTATTGTTATTCAAAAGTTATTTCAAAAACTAGGGATGCATGGCATTGCGCCTAAGGTAATTGCTGTTACTTTCGTTTTTAACGTGTGGCTTTTAGGAGCAGGGGGTTTTTTTTACAAAAAATCACGTGAGGAAGGGAGGGATCTAGTAAGATATCACGTGTATTTATTTTCTACCCAAATTTTAAAAAAGCAAACATTTTACTTTTTTTTTCGTAAATTCGAAAAATTTTACGTAAATAAAAATAAACGTCATGTTTGGTGGGGAAGGGGTGGGGGGTTAATTCGAAATATCACGTCGTATCAGGAGGGCGAGAGGGTCCAAAAATCCCTGAAAAATCGATGACGTGATTAATAGAGTCTCCATATCGTAAAATTTGATTTTTTTTTTGAAAATCTTGAATTAAAAAAAAACTATCTGTTTTAGAGACGAAATATAGAAGCGCGTAAGCGCCGTGTTGCAGTCTAACTTTTAGGCACTATAAGTCTTGATATAGAACCCATAGAATTGTAAACAAAATTTGTACTTATTATTAAAATCTTTATATCTGATAATTTAATGTACATATAATCATCTTTGACCGTTAAATGCCATTTCTTTAAACTTTTTTTTTTATCGAATCTCCGAAACCGCTGGACCTTCCCTAAAATCGTTCATTCTGTCAAGGTAAAATGTGTTAGCTGACCATTAGCTAATTATAAAGCACAATATAACTCAACATAATATACTTTTAATCACCGAACCATTCTACAATTTATACAAACAAATATGTCACATTTCCATGTTTTATATAAAATGCCATACTGATTAAACCGAACGCATGACACACTATTATAATATTAACTAATATTATAATACAATAAAATATAATAATATAATATACGCCCTATCATATATATTTTGCTAACAATTTTTTTTTTTGAATCATTCAAATCGGACGCTCCGTTCTCTCAAAAACTGAGTAACCGTTTTTAGCACTTTTTGCCCCGTATCTTGGGAACGCCAAACCTGCTCCTTTGCCAAAAACTAATCAGCACGTCTCCTTATCAATATGAATCGAATGTTTCTTTAATTTTTCAAATCGGTTGATCGGTGTTCCCGAAATCGAAGACGTAAATTTGTATCCACACTATATTTAGAAACACACAATATTCAGAAACATTTGAAAAGTTTTCTGAAGTAAAGATATGCAAACAATTTCATTTTCGATTTTTTTCGATTACTATAACTTACCCTACGGGAAATTAAAAATAAATCCTACGGGAAGTTAATTATGACTGGACATAAAATTATATCTTAGCAATTTATTATAACAAATCATTGGCTCAAGATTGTATCATCTGATTTTACAGGACATAATTGTTTAAACATTATAAAAAAGAATAAACAGACTTAATTTTCTTTGAGAATTTTCATTTGGTAAGCGTTTTCACTTAATATTCACAGGTCACAGCATAAACCGGCCTTTTCAATTCACGAGCAAATGTTCATAAATTATCTCGTCTTAAGATGTCACATTTTGCGTATTGTCTAGTTTTAGTATAATTAATTGTTTCTTCAATGTTTAGCAAATACAATTGGTGTTTGCACTTCTAATTTATCATCATGCAGAGGAAGCTTATTTACTGAAGTTTCAGTATTTAACTAATTGTACATTGATCTCAAATCAGTGATATCTCTCTTAACTTCCCGAAGGAGAAGTTTGTTTTCATAAAAAAATTCGATTCGCTAATTTTATGTTTTCTCGACGTTTCAAGCCATTCTAAATCGAATGAGACCAAATTTGGAAAAAGTATTTGTGGATGTGAACAGATTTTTTGCTGTAAATTGACGTTTTCTCAAAAACGGCTTAACCGATTTCAAAAATTTAAAAGCCATTCGATGTGTCTCGATGAGGACTAGCATTTATCAGTTTTGTGCAACGATCGGTCAAGCCGTTTTTTTATAAATGGCAGAAAAGTGAAAAATTTTTCGTCCACGTTTTAGCCCGCAATTCGGAATCGATTTTGAAAATTCAAAAACTGTTCGAAAGACATTGGTTGGGAATCGTGCTGATTAATTCTTGGTAAAGATCGGCCGGGCCGTTTTCTTGTAATGAAGTGTTAAATTTTTTCCGACGATTTTTATGATTTTTTTTTGACGGTAGATACCGTAGTCTTATAGATCATACTAAAATATTATGGCCGTACGACAGCTCGTTTAACTTTAAAAACTCTCGTCGAAGTTTGCAAAAATTATTACCGTTTTTTTGGCATTTGTTATTAATTGATATTTCAGAAATTTTATGTATCTTGATGAGGATTAGCGTTTCTCAATTTTGTGCGGCGATCAGCTGAGCCGTTTCTTGTAATTTAGAAATAAGTGTTAAACTTTCCGTCCACATTAAGCTCATACTACCGAATCGATTTTAAAAAATCAGAAACTGTTCGAAAGATATTAGTTGGGAATGATACTGATTAGTTTTAGGTAAAAATCTACCAAGCCGTTTTCTTGTAATTAACTGTTGAAAACAATATAAGCCGATTTTTATGGAACTTTTTTGGGCGATATATACCTATCATGGTCTTGTAGAACTTACTGAAATATTGCGGCCTTACGACAAATAGTTTAATTTTAAAATTCATCAAAGTTTGAGAAAATGAGTAGTTTTTTGACGTTTGTTAAAATAGAATTAGACAATTTACTTGGAATAACGATAGAGTGTTCGTTCGTTTTCAATGATGTGTGATAAATCCACTCTGAATTTTTTAATCACTCATAAATTAATTTATTTTTCATTGATTAAGTCGATTATTTACATATATCGGGAAGTTCATGTACTTGCCTCAAGGAAAAATACTAATACCAACTAGTATTATTAATGCTTCATGTCTTAATATCAATATTATTTGGTTTCAGATTCTAGAGTTTTATTAAAAAATATACCAAGAACCGAGAACAAAGTTCCGAGTCTGCAAGGGTTCCGCAAATGCCGAGATCTTCCACGACGCCTTGGACCAAGAGTTTGCCCAAATAAAAATCGAACACAACGACGTGTGCTCCTTCGACGAGGACACTGTGATTCAATTGTCAAAAATTTTGGACAAATCGGAAAATTGGATAAATGTGGCAGAAATGCTCGGATTTACAACACTTATGAACTTCGTCGACAAAGAATCGCAAAGTCCAACTAGAATCCTACTGGGACATATAGAGGCCAAGTGATATTATTAGAATATTATATA